CTCCCTTGGGCTCCCTGAAGGCATACTGTTCTTAGGACAATGATAATTGCACCCAGTTTCCTTAATTTCATTATAAAAGAAAATCTGTGAAAACTAGATTTTAGAGGGTTCACAGTTCCTGTGAGATCAGTGCTGAGCTCTTCAAGAAATAATTTCATTTTTCCACAAGAGTCTGGAAGGCCATAACTGAGCCCCACAGGGAACTGGGGCCAAGGAGCCACAGGAGAGAGTTGGAGGGCAGCACTTGGCTCCTTTCACCTCACCCATTGCTAGGATACAAAGTGAGGGAAAGCCCCAGCCAGGGCAAAGGGGGAGTCACAGGTGGGCAGAGCAGGAGTGGTCAATCCAAGCAGCCAGGGAACAGAAAATGTGGGACAAGTCTTGTAGAGCTCAGCCTGAAAAAGAGGTGAGCGGAGACACAAATTAAGAAGGTCTGCAAAGTCCTGCAGGGCACAGATGAAGCTTCTAGTCTCCACTACTGCAAAATTCAGGAGGCATCAAAAGAAGCCAGCTGCATTCTCATGAAAAGTATTCCCTATTTTAAGTGGTCAGAATTCCCTAGTTTCCAGAAGTTTAGTTTTAAATGTTTTTAAACCTTTCCAAGTCTTCAGAGGTTTGGAGTACGTGGCCCTAAACGTAATGTTTAAACGTTTAAACCAGAGGTAACCTTAATTCCCTTTTAACCAAGGTCTTCTGCAGGGTTTTGTGCTGAGTGCCAGTCAGCGAGCCATTTCCAAGGGACTAGAAATATTTTAGTACCATCAAATCCATCAAAGAGATCCTGCCTGATTTTTAGGTCACATTTCTGTGAAAATCCTCCCATGCTAAAGGATGTTTTCTGCAAGAGACACCAACACCACAACCAGCTCCAAGGTATATCCACAAAAAGAAAAAGCCAGGGCAAAGCAGGTGAAGAAGGGAGCATCCATGCAGCCTCACACTCTGCTGTGCACTGCTGTGTGCCTGCTCCAAAGGGTCTTCTGACCCTTCCACACCAGTCCTGGGGCTGGCATGAAGCACAGCTGCACAAGGACAGCAAACACAAGAAATACAAGAAACTCTTGGCAGCAGCCGGCTGGTGGCTGCCCCAGGGCCTTCCTGGGCAGCCTGGATGTGCAGCAGTCCCAGTTTCTCACTGCTGCACTGCTAGACAAGCTTTTATTAGAGTCTTGTAGGAGCCTAGGATTTATTACTGCCTCAGCAAAAGCATTCCCACTCTCAGCAATGCCAAACCAAATTTATGGGTTCACATGGAAGAAACAGACACTGACATCAATAAATTCTCATCATTTGGTTTATTATATATTCTAAATAACCTGTTTGATGCCAGTATTTCTTGTGTTAGATGCCATCAGTAATTCTGTCCTCCTTGTTTATCAATTACTGTTGGCAATGAAAATCTACCCAGCCAGTTTAACTCACTGAGCACCTCTGCTGTGCTGTAGTCATGGCCTCTGAATGTCCAGCACTGCAACTGCAACCAGTGGTAGAGATCATCCATGGTATGGCTGTCCTCTCATTCTCCAGAAACAGCCAGAAGAAAACAGCAGTGAGAGAAAAAATAACACTCTTGTTGCTTTTAAACATCAGCTAGAGCCTGCAGGGAGCTGGAGAAAGGGATCTCTCTAATTAAGCAGCATTGTCCTTTTTTATTATTATTGAGTTTTACAAAATATCTGGAGAACCATAGCTAAGCTCCAGGATCACCAAGATTTCAGGAAGCAGTGTCTCTGCTAGAAGAAAGTCCTCTGAGTGTGCTGGAAAGGCTGAGACCCCCAAGTCTGTGTCACTGAACTGACTCTGCAATGGGTTTACCTGGGTGATGGGGCAGGGTGCACCACAGCAAGTTTGGTGATGACAAACAGGCAGAAGTGGCTGATACACCAGAGGGCTGTGCTGGCATCCAGAGAGAGCGTAAATTCTCATCATTGGTTTATTATACATTCTAAATAACATGTTTGATGCCAGTATTTCTTGTGTTAGATTCCATCAGTAATTCTGTCCTCCTCGTTTATCAATTACTGTTGGTAATGAAAATCTACCCAGCCAGTTTAACTCACTGAGCACCTCTGCTGTGCTGTAGCCATGGCCTCTGAATGTCCAGCACTGCAACTGCAACCAGTGGTAGAGATCATCCATGGTATGGCTGTCCTCTCATTCTCCAGAAACAGCCAGAAGAAAACAGCAGTGAGAGAAAAAATAACACTCTTGTTGCTTTTAAACATCAGCTAGAGCCTGCAGGGAGCTGGAGAAAGGGATCTCTCTAATTAAGCAGCATTGTCCTTTTTTATTATTATTGAGTTTTACAAAATATCTGGAGAACCATAGCTAAGCTCCAGGATCACCAAGATTTCAGGAAGCAGTGTCTCTGCTAGAAGAAAGTCCTCTGAGTGTGCTGGAAAGGCTGAGACCCCCAAGTCTGTGTCACTGAACTGACTCTGCAATGGGTTTACCTGGGTGATGGGGCAGGGTGCACCACAGCAAGTTTGGTGATGACAAACAGGCAGACGTGGCTGATACACCAGAGGGCTGTGCTGGCATCCAGAGAGAGCACAACAGGCTGGGAAATGGGCTGGAAGGGAGGCCATAAAGTTCAACAAGGAGTGTAAAGTCCCACGCTTGGAGAAGAACAATCTCCAGTCCTTGCTGAGGGCTATCCATCTGGGAAGAAGCTTGGCAGAAAAGCACCTGGGGATCCTGGTGGACACCAAGTTGATCATAATCCAGCAATGTGCATTTAAGGCAAAGAAAGTGAGTGGTGTCCTGGGCTGCATTAGTGCCAAGAAATTGAGGGAGGTGATCCTTCCTCTCTGCTCAGCTCTGGTGAGGCCACTCCTGGAGTGCTGAGTCCAGCCCTGGACTCTCCAGTACAAGAGAGACTCCAACAAAGGGCCATGAAGATGATGAAGGTTGTGGTGCACCTCTCCTAGGAGGAAATGCTCAGAGAGCTGTGAAAGAGAGAGGAGAGAGGAGAGGAGGTTTTAAGAGATGATGGTTTTGTTTGGACTCATACTCGTTCTGCTCAGGGTGTGACGGCATTGCGTGTAAGGTCTGTCCTGGCCAGAGAAATTCAGCATGAAGAGGTTTTTATGGGCAATAGTGAGCTGAGATAGGGAGATCTTCCTCTGCTTTCTTGGATGCAGCATGGGAAGTGTCATGAGAGAAGAGAAGAGAAGAGAAGAGAAGAGAAGAGAAGAGAAGAGAAGAGAAGAGAAGAGAAGAGAAGAAGGATCTCATCAATGTGTATAAATACCTGAAGGGAGGGTGCAAAGAGGACACAGCCAGGCTCTTTCCACTGCTGCCCAGTGTGAGGACCGGAGGCTATGGGCACAAACTGAAATACAGAAATTTTCCCCTGAACATCAGGAAGCTGCCACTGCGAGGGTCACCAAGCACTGAGATAGGTTGCCGGTTTTCAAAAGCTGTCTGGAAATGGTCCTGGGCAGTTGGGTCTAGGTGGCCCTGCTTGAGTACAGGAGGTTGACCCAGATGACATCCAGAGATCCCTCTCAACCTCAACGACTCTGTGGCTCTGTGAACCTAATTGCTCCCACCACTGTGTGCTCTTAGCACTTTGCTCTTTCACATCAAAACTTTCTTCACAATGATGTGACCTGGAGAAAAGGTGACCTCTTTCCAATTCTCAGCTTCTGGAGGCAGGGACAAGCAGTGCATTGCCATACGGTGACAGGAAATTCATATTCCCAACATGGGGCCACGTGATCCTTGGCACTGGACCAGCAATGGTGGGAACGGCATATCTCATGTGGGCAGAAAGACAGGATGGGCTTTTGTGGCTGAAATGCATTCCTCAGCTTTCTGAGGCCATGGGAAATTCTGATTCCTGGCTCTTCCTGTAGTCAAACCAGTCTTTCTGAGTGGGAAAGCCATTTCCCAGCTCCCTGGTCATTGCTCTTGTGGTAAATACAGTTGGGGCTGAATAACACAAAAAAAGATAACTTTTCTACAATTAATTATTTTCAAAAGCAACTAGGATTCAGCCAAATGCTAATGAAGCCAGAGGGAAATGGGAGCTGGGCCATTCCTGAAGCAATGAAAGATCTTTACCAGCAGTTTAAGAGCTGTATCATTTTATTCACAAAACCAGACAGATACTGCCCTTTGCAGTGACTTTCCATGCTTGAATTTTCCATTTATTCTGAAAACAGTATCACTTAAATCCTGCACTAGTATTTTAATACTAAGATTAGAAAGTTCTATACAGTGGGAAAGTCCAAAACACAATTTGAAAATGTTAATGAAGTGAATGAAAAATGGGGTTTTTGAAAAATGCCTGAAATACCTTGTTCAGTATGGAAAATAAGGTGGGAAGAAAAGCAAAATGGAAAGAAACCTGTGCAAGAGGGACTGCCTTATATCTTTTAAGGCCAGGTAGAAAAAGAGATGTAAGTACAGAGGGGCATGCAGGGCTGTAAGTTGTGCTGTCATGACTGGTCACAGGATAAACAAATGAAAGGGTCTAATGGGTTTGACACTACAACCCCCTGCAAGAGCAGCAATAAACTTAGGCTGGGAGAACTGCTTGATCACAAGAGCTAGTGGGGAAGGGTGAGTGGTAGACAAAAGTTTTGGAGTCTAGTGGCTTCCTCTGTGCCTCATCATCTGTCTGAACAACTCACCAGATGAAGGAAAATTTTAAAAGTAATTTCTGTCTCTGGTGGTTTTGGTTCTTGTGTATTAAAAGTTCTTCTATGCTGAAGTCAGTGCATGCATTGCAAAAACACTGTGGCTGTTCACAGCAGCGGATGTGTGTGTGTGCAGCACAGTAAATTAAACAGGAGAGTGTTAATGCTGGTGTGGGTGCTGTGATCCTCATCACACCCACTGCCACTCCTAAATGTGTAATTTGATTGATAAAGAAGCAAGCAGAAGGAGAGCAGGCAGAGGAAGTGCTGTCATCAGTGCAGATGGGTAAACGTGATGCACAAGTACACTCACCTTGGCAGAACCCTAAATCTGCTCCTTTCATTACTCTTCAGGTCTCTTGTTCCAGGGGTTTCCAACAGGTTTCTTTTCTGACTTATTCATACAAGGTGCTGAAAATGACGGAAGAGCTGATGAGAATGGGGATGGTGAAGATGTTGGGAAAACAGTCACACATGTCTGAATCAGAGACCAATAACCTGTCTGCTGGCAAGTTATGTTTTTGTTCACTTGTTATTATGAAGCTAGAAGTTAGTTCTCTGATATTTAATTTTTATTTTATGGGTGGATTTTGCATTTTTTTTACAAAAAAACTCAGGCAATCAGGAGAACAAAACAAGATAGGGATGAAGAGAGAGCTGAAATGCAAAACACTCTTGTTTTGCTGGGGTCAGACACCACGCAGGTCACTTCACCTGTGCCTTAGCTCAGCTTTATGTAAGTTGCAATCAAAGTTTTCCTTGTAGAAGTGGCTTGATGTTTATTGCTGTAAAGCAACTCTATCTTAGGGCTTATATAGGGCTTACAGTTAATAACTGCACAGGGAGTTATTTAACAACATTAACAGCAATGACAGTGTTATCAAATCAGTGGTGTGTTTTCCACAGAATTCAACACTTTTTGAAGGAGGAAAATAGTGAGGCTGCTTTGGGCTCAGCCTTGTTTTCTCATCATACCCTGCCCTCCCTGGCCTAAGATCCTGGAACGAAACTTTCCAAGCAAAGTTGCTTTTCTTGTTACTTTAAAGACATCTTGAGAGCATACCTATTTTTTCTGCTTATATTTTTCCAGCCTGCTTGTTGTTTAAGCAAGAGGACCTTTTCCTACAGCTTAGTGTGTTCAGAAGGGAGAACTTTCTGCCAAATTCCATTTCCCCCCTTCTATTAAGATTGTAAAGTTGTTGGTGTAACCATTAATAATTGATCAATGGTTTCCTTGGAGAAAGGAGTCCTGATCTCTTTCAGTGCAGAGGTGCCACATGAAACCCACCTTGGACTTGCAGGTTTTGGGGTGCTCCTGTCCACATCTGTAGGCTGTGGTGGGTGCTGGTCAGACCTTGGCACCCCTCTGAATGACTGAGTAAAACTATTACTCCAGTGAAGTGCCCTGGTGGCCTGAAAATCCAGGTGACCCCTCCCTATAGAAGCAACCTTTATGTCCTAATTTCTCTCAACCCTGCACTTGGGTCACAACAACCCCTTGAAGTGCTACAGGCTTGGGGAAGAATGTCTGGAGAGATGCCCAGCAGAAAATGACCTGGGGGTGCTGGTCAACAGCAGCTGAACATGAGCCAGCTGTGCCCAGGTGGCCAAGAAGGCCAATGGCATCCTGGCCTGGATCAGCAATGTGGCCAGCAGGACCAGGGCAGGGATTGTGCCCCTGTACTTGGCACTGGTGAGGGTGCACCTCAAATCCCACATCCTGTTCTGGGCCTCTCACAACAAGGACACTGAGGTGCTGGAGCGTGTCCAGAGAAGGGCTTACACCTTACCTTGCACACACTGACTTTCTCAGCCCACCTTTCCCACCTGTAAGTACCTACACCAGGAGAGGCAGGTGAGTACAGGAATCTTCCACCCAAATTACACTTCCAGCAGCTTCTTATGAGCTGCTGGTTTAAAATTTCTCTTTGTAACATGGCCTTGGCCAGAGTAGTGTTGGCCAGGTCCTCTTCACAGCCCATGTTTGCCTCCCCCACAGACATGAAGACAGCAGCACACTATCCAAAAGCCTTGCCTACCTCTTGTTTATCCCTAAGATGATGATACACTTAAAAAGCTCCATGGTCTGTAAAGAGAATGATCAAACAATAGCTTCTGCATAAGTTAGTTGTGGAACCAGTATATTGGCAGGTGTATGAGGTTTTTAAATCCTTCTGCCGTAGCAAGGATAAAATTCCCAACACAAATGGCAACTCTGCAGCAAGATTCTGACATAATTACTGTAATTATATTGTCTCTGCACTCTCTTATAATCATTGACAGTATGTATTTAATGAGCCCTTTCCCGTTCAGCAGGTTGCTCCCAGCCTCTCAGATTTACAACTGCAATGCAGAGGTATCTCAGAATAAAATTAACCCTTGGAAGCAAGGCCCCTTTCTGGGAGGATGCTGGAGAGTCTCTCAGAGACTGGCACTGCCCGCCCTTCCCTGCATGGCTGGAACACACAGACAGGCTTCAGAGCTGGGCTGATCTGCCTTGGTGAGTAAAATTTTGTCAGTGCTGCCTGAGTGAGCTGGGTGTGGTGGATGTGACACCATCAGAGTGCAACCTGCTGGCATCCTGCTCCTGGGTTACACGTGGCTCAGCCCACACTGGTTGATGCTGCAGAGCCTGATGGGGTGCCCTGCAGGAAAGCCAAGGGCTGCTGTGACTTCCCAGAAGGTCTACATAAAACAGAACCCCACCAACCAAGCAGTCTTGCACCTCCAGCTCCCTGGGGAGTTTAAAGTCACACCACAAGGTGCAGGTTTGTCCCAAGGATGCAGGCACCTTGCTTTGGCTTCCTGCAGTGCAGCTTTTCTCCTTGAATCTCAGCTTGTCAAAGGAAAAAGAAAGCAATTTCCGCAGACACATCTGGGCAACTCAAGATTTACTTCAGCATCAAATGAAACAAAGTACCAATTCAGAGTTCAAGGCAAAAATCTATGCCTGGGCTATGTAATATTGTCAGACCAAAATTTTAGACATGAATTAAATAACCCCTTTACATTTTTCCCCTTGCTGGTAATCTTCAGATGCTTTGCAGATTGAGGGGTTTCTGTGGCTTGGACTGGACCTGCAGTGACATCTCCTGGTCCCCCCGAGGTGAGGTGCTGGCTGCTGAGTGGCACAGCCCCCGGACCCAAAGCTGCCCCGGAGCACAGGACTGCTCAGCACAAACCTCCCCAGGGTCACATCTCCACCGGGGTGGCTGAATGTCCAGGGGGAAAAAACACACACCTCCCCCTGACACGTCCCTTCACCTTCACCTGCAGCACCAGAAGAGCCTTCAGAAATCATCATTTTAAGCATGAAGGTAAATCAGCCATGAAAATGAGATCATTGCACGGAGAGCCTGTGGGCGGGCTGTACTTGCCTGCAAAGCCTTGGTGCTTTTAACTGGAGACAGGGAGAGGAGTTAATCTGTCTCCTCCTGTGCTTATGTCTGTCTGAGACTCACATGTGAACAGGATGTTTTGCACTTCACCACTTCTTTTGTTGTGACTCTCAAACAATTTCCCACTGAAAACCAACAGGCTTGCTGTTGGCATCTTAGTAGAGGAAATTAAATCCAGCATTTCAGTGTTATCTGATTTCACATCCCTGCACATCATTGTATAATTTCACCACCTACTCATCCTTTTTCTTCACACACAAGTGCATTTAGAGAAAATATAATTGTTGAACGAATACTTAGTCAGAGAAAGGTTGTAATCAGCTCGGATAGAAATCAGACAGCTTATTCACTTGAAAAAAAAGGGGAAAGGAGGAGGAAATTAAATGGAATAATTTCTTTCCTGTGAACTTAGGGCACCAAAAATTGTATGGTAAACTATAACAAGAGAAGAAAAACAGTTTAAAAACTTAGCAGGCAACAGTATTCCTCAGCTATTGCACTAAAAATAACATGGAAGTCAAAGATCTGATTCATTTGATGTCTTCTGTGTTCATTTAAAAATAATTTTAAAGTTACAACCAAAGACTCACAAATTTTTCCCAGAGCAAAATAACTGGATGTCCCCTGTAAATCATCAGATATATCAACACTTACCATCAGGTAGCAGCAACTGAGTCGTGCTGGGAGAACATGCACAATGCAGACACCTAAGATCAAAACTGGGATTTGAAAAGTTGCTCCATACTGTCTAATCCATCAAAATACTCAGTCCTAGGAAAGAGGACAAGTCTGGCACACTGCTGAGCACCTCAGGCACTGAGCTTACGGAGTCCGCGAGTCCATCCTCTCAGGCACCTTCCTCCAGCTAATTTGCTGCAGAGCCAGCACAAGCAGCAGTCCCAGGCCAGTCCCTCACTCTGCTGGGGGCTGCAGGCAGGTGGCCCCATGGAGACAAGGACAGTTCATAATTACACTGCATACAGAAATGCAATGAAATGCAAACCCCCAGCGAGACTGGATGTGCATCAGGAGCTCAAGTTTAACAAGAGCACATGATCACGAGTGTTAGGACTATCACCCATATTTCTTTTTCTTGACTGTGTAGAACTATTCTAACTTTCTCATAGACATTTTTGCCTTGGGGGTGTTGGTTGATGAGAAGTTTAACATGACCCAGCAATGTGTGCTTGCAGCCCAGAAAGCCAACCATATCCTGGGCTGCATCCAACACAGTGTGGCCAGCAGGGGGAAGGGAATTCTGCCTCTCTGGCCCACTCTGAGACCCCCCTGGAGTGCTGCATCTTATGTCCAACATAAGTGGGACATGGACCTGCTGCAACAACTACAGAGGAGGCCACAAAGCTGTTCAGAGGGCTGGAGAACCTCTGCCATGAAGGCAGGCTGAGAGAGTCGGGGCTGTTCAGCCTGGAGACAAGAAGGCTCCAAGGAGAACTTAGAGCACCTTCCAGGGCCTGAAGGGGGCTATGAGAGAGCCGGAGAGGGACTTTTGACAGGGGCATGTAGTGATTAGACAAGGGGGAATGGCTTTAAACTGACAGAGGGTAGGTTTACATTAAATATTAGGAAGAAATTCTTTACTGTGAGGGTGGTGAGGCACTGGCACAGGTTGCTAGGAGAAGTTGTGGATCCCTGGCAGTGTCCAAAGACAGGTTGGATGGAGCTCTGAGTAACCCAGTCTAGTGGGAGGTGTCCCTGCCCATGGCAGGGGAGTTGGACAGGATGAATTCTAAGGACCCTTTCAACCCAAACCATTCTATGCTTCCATGATTTATGCAAGTTTCACAGCCATTTAAAGCCTAAGACATTATGCAAATATAATGAGCAAAACTTTTCCAGTTCATTTCAAGTATGAAATAAGTCAGGTTCTTCAGCACTTCTTAAGAGCAGGATAGTGTGGTCAGTCCTCTCCAATAATTTTTTAGTTCATATTACTTTCACAGAAATAAGAGACAGCCCATCTGGGGAGAAGGTCAGGAGCTGGTGTAGGGCAGCTGCCTGCCCACGGGAGGATTCACCTCTGACTAACACATTATCACCAAGTATGTGCCTCACTGCCATGTGCATCTGAAGAGCCCCCATCTGAAACCTCTTCCAGTGCTCCACAATCTTTTCTGTAACATGGTTCCTCCCTAGTGACTAATCTAAATATTCTTTGCTTAAAGAAACCTATTATTTTCTTGTTCTATTCACCATGAACATAAAAGACACTGAAAAGATGAAAGGAATAAATTGTTCCCTTTGTGTCTTGAGACTTGTATTTCCTTATGCTGTTCTGTAAGAAAAATTACTCAAACTCCACCAATCTTCTTCTATTTCTCATCTCTTATACTTACATTCTCACGTTTTCTAGATTTCTATTAAATCTCATTGCTCTTCTCTGAACTGGTTTTTCCTAACAAGCATGACATATAAAACTAGACCTGCTGTTTCAGCTGATGCCTCTCCAGAGCAGAACAGAATGAGGTATTTTGTCATATGGGTGATACAGTCTTTATACCTCTCTATGTTTCTCTTCATTTTGCAGGATCACTGTGTTGTTAGAATGGGTCACAAAATGAATGCCAGACAACTACCTGACCTTTTTCAGCTACGTTGACCTTTAATTCCTCTCTGTTCTGTTTGCAAAGTTTCCTGGTTCTGTCCAATTCCCCAAGATGATTTGGAATCCTATTTCTACCCTTTAACATGTTTGCAACCTCACCTGTCTCAACATGAAACAACAATGTCTCTTTTTCCCTCCTATATATCCTGCCCGAAAGAGATCACAAAGCAGTCACAAAACCTTGTCCATATGTACCCTGAATCAAAATATCTCTGTTTATGCTCTTTTTATCCTGAACCCCTCAATAAAAAAAAAGAAAAAGACACACAGTCATTTGTTTGATTTTTTTTTTAAAACAAAGCATATTTTTACTGTAAGGACTGATTAGAAAATACAAAATAGTAAAACTTCAGACCTTCTTTCCCACATGGACATACACCTATGGCATGTTTGAAAAGTGTGTGTGCTGTGAAAGTAATCTCTACTTATATAGAGTTTTACAACTGATTTGTAATTATATTTATGACAGTGCTGTGGAAATAGGAAGACCTATCCAATGTTTTAAGAACAATTCTTTTCTTCTCTAACTTGTTTTTCATTTTTACATTAGGAGAAGCAGGATTTGAACCTGTGTTACAAACAGCCCTATATTTCAGTCACTGAAAATAAGTAGTTATTCCATGTTGTTTAGCAAAGTATTTCCTCTTTCAGTTTCTAAATTTGACTATAAAACACTGCTTACATCAGAGTCCCACAGCTGGAGAACACAGCGCTCTGGAGCTGGATCCAGTGCACCAAAGCTGTTGATTCCTACTGTCCTGACTCTAAAAAGTGTTAAGGGGTGAATCTGACATCCACAGGGATGAAGTTACTCCAAGCTTTGGTAAAGATGTTAAAGCAAAAGAATGGTTGTCCAGTACTTTGATTTCTCATTGAAGTAAAGAGGGGAACTAAAACCAATGCAAAAAATAAATACAAATTTAACTTACAAATTTTCTTAGTTCAGATCCTGTCATGTATTCCTATGATGGCAAATAGAAGCCCACTTTAAGGCCATTTTCCCACCTTTATAATATAAACTTTTAGCTGCATTTTAAGCAAGCAGCAAGCTGGGGTTAAGTTATGCAATAATCTCATTCTGTTCAGCTACACTGGAGTCACACCAGTGCTGGTTCTGCTGAGTCATACCAAGGTAAACACAACCTTTGCTCACACTGGCATAAATTCTTCACACTCTCAGAGGAAAGATACAGACAACTGCCCAACTCTAAGGAGGTCCCTGGGATCCAGCAAGGTATCTTGGATAACTGGGACCAGGAACTGTTCTGCCTTTATGGATTTCAATTGGAATGGAAAGGTTCCTGGTGACTTAAAGGAGTTTGTCCCAAACAGGAATATCTGTAAACATAATGATAACTCATAGAAGATCTCTTGTGCAGGAAAAAGGGGAAAGGAGCTCATGTGGAGCAAAAGAGAAGATCAAAGAGAGCAGTAGAAATGTGCATCAAAAGGATGCAATACCTCAAAGCAGGTGAAAATCTTTGAAAAAGACCTTTCAGAGAGTTGAAGCAGGTAAAGAAACAAAGCATTTTTGGTCCCAGGAGATGCCATGAATCCTAAATACAAAGTGTTCTCACAGTGACATGACTAGTTAGGATTCTTTGTAAAAATTCAACTTCTGACCACAGAGTTCCTTATGCCATTGCTAATGTCATTTAGACACAATTAATTAATATTTGGCAGCTCTGGAAATACTCCTGCTTCATGTGGTCTTGAAGTAATAAAGTTTGAAAGAGTGAAAATATGACATTTGGTTCCTAGCAAAGAGTCACAGAGAGACTCTTTTAGACTCTGAAAATTACAATTTTACATTATTTCACTAAATGCTGTGTGCAAACAAGCCAGTTCATTATAGTGGCACAGATTATTTCCATAACTAGAAATAACTGGTGACCTGAAAAAAATCCACACTCCATACAACCCAGCACTGAGCTGAGGTGCACTTGTCTTACGAGCTGAAGGAATACTTCACTTACAACACTGAAGCTGTTGATGAAATAAGTCAGTCCCTCCCCTGACTGGGGAGGAGGAACATTTCCCCCTGTGCTAAGAGTCCAGAGCTTCAGATGTCCTGCTCTTCATCTGCTCCGTTTATCAGCAATGACCACTTGCCCCCTTCCTCCTGGATGAAGCCATTGCGTCTCGGCAGCCTGTCTGAAGCCAGGGAAGAGAGGGACACTTGGCTTGTCTGATCCCAAGGAGATGGTTTGGAAGAGTCCCTCCTCCTGTCGTCCATTCCAATGTGAACACTGATTTGAGAAGGGGTGAGTGGCTTCATGCGGCCTTGAGCTTGTGCTTCGTAACTCTCTGTGTCTGGCTTCTTGTAACTAAGAAGAGAAAGAGAAAAGATATTAACAAGAGGTCAATGTGTAGAAGCATCTGGCACTAGAACAAATCAGAAACTTCTGATAACCTAAATGTCTTGAAAGTGTTTATATAGAAAAAACAACTTTATAGATTAATTACATATGTTTAAATTACATTTCCTATCTAATAGTTCACAAACAATTAATTTAAAATGTGTGTGCCAAGAGTGTAAGGGTCTCAAAAATCAGTTACAGAATAATTTTTATTACTACTTGAGTTTTGAGCCTGACAATTCTCTCAAGCCAAGGCAAGCACAGAAGTATAAGGGAGGATGATGGGGAAATGCAGAATACTCCTCAAGATGTTTCTGGTCTGAGCTTTCAGTCATTCAAGGCCACATACCACTGATTGAGCACTCTTCTGTTGCATTTAGGGACATGGTTTAGTGGTGGGCTTGGTGGTGCCAGGTTAAAGGCTGGACTTAATGATCTTAAAGGTCTTTTCCAACCCAGATGATTCTATGATTCCATGCGCTTCAGGCACAGTGTAAAATAGCTAAGAGTACTTGTCACATGGCATTAAAACATTTCAGTAATAAAAGAGAGGGATTCTCAAAATAAAGTTCTTTAATAAAAATTATTTGTTTGCTGAATTATTAGAAGGTTCATAGAAGACAATTGCAGGTAAATGGACTCAATGACACAAAAATCACTTTCTGATTCAATGCATACTAAGTCAAATCCCAGCAATGGCAGGTATGCGTGGTCTTCTTCACATATATATGCACCATTGTGTTCTTTGGAATCTAAGTTCTATTCACCTCATCTGAAGCTTCAAGAAAAATTATTATCCTAAAATGTATACTGTAATACAGCTTCCAGAAGTCTGAAGCCAAATATTTTTAGGGGGTTCTCAATATCTAGCTAAAATGGTGTGTGACACTTAGTGAAATTGGCACAAGGTCAAAAGAAATGGAGAATTAAGGAATCCTGTTATAGAAATTTCTCATCCTTTGGATAACTATACACTGAAACCTTTTAGGATGAAAATCCTGTGGTGGTAGGGCTGACTCTGCAAACAGACATGTATATGTATTTATATTGTGATCTCATTGAGCATTTGCAGGATTAGAAACATGATGTAGTAACAGATTTTCCATATTTGGAAAATTACTTTATACTATACTGTACTGTACTATACTGTAACGTACAGAAGACCCCAGCTACAGTAAAAATATGTGAAGGTTTGGACCAATTTCAGACACCATAAAAAGTCTTATTCTTGAAAGGCTTTTGCTTTCTATGCTGTTAAGAACAGGTCTACTGTAACTGCCAAAAAGGGTACCCAAAAATTGTAGCATTAAAAGGAATAGAACTTGAAAAATCTTGTTGTAGCTCAGAAACTGGTTTGCTTCCAAAAGAATAAAGACAGATGCCTTATCTGCAGCAAGGTGCAAAAGAATAAAGACACTGCTTCCCTCTTTCTCTCTGGCTAATTTAAATAGACAAAAATTAAAACCAAACAGGTACAATTTTTTTTTTTAAAATCTATTGTTACATTATGGAGAATTATCTTTCAAACAAGTTGTTCCCTTGATATTCACAGCAAAACCTCCTGACCATTACTTTACTTGGTATGCTCAAAAAATGTAGCATTAAAATTACTAGAACTTGAAAAATCTTGTTGTAGATCAGAAACTGGTTTACTTCCAAAAGAATAAAGACCATCTGCAGCAAGGTGCAAAATAATAAATACACTGCTTCTCTGTTTCTCTCTGACTAATTTAAATACACAAAAATATAAACCAAACAGGTACCTTTTTTTTTTTTTTCTTTCAAAAAAATAAATTGCTACATTATGGAGAATTATCTTTCAAACTAGTTGTTCCCTTGATATTCACAGCAAAACCTCCTGACCATTACTTTTCTTGGTATTGAACTAGAGCTCCACCACATGGGCCCAGGTGACATCCAGTCACATTTTCAGCTGCTAGTTAAAGCATACTGCATACTGTCTTAGTCCAGGTAAGTTCATAATAGTGACACCTGTCTCTTTTGGAGCCAAGGACTAGACAGAGCAATTCCAAGCTAATGGACTTTCAGGTACTTTTAGATGTAGTCCCAGCCTCAGTAGTGCCCCAGTTCCCCAGCTGATAAACACAAGATAACTTGCCACTTCAGCTGCAGTGAAGACAGCAGGACAGACACAGAAGAAGCTGCCATTGCAGCTGATCCCATCCAAGGCTGAAGCACGAGACCAACAGGCATGAACACACCTAGGAAAAAAACACATGGACATGAGCCAGAGCTGCCCATCCCAGCACAGGCATTTCCACCCCTGCATAGCATGCAACAGATCAGCACTTCTACAACAGAACCTGCTGAGACCTCCAGAAACACAGCTAGATCAATACATGTATTTACCCACTCATTACTGAACATGTCCCTGCCATTGCAAGGGATGACCTTTGCACCAGTACAGGTACAAGACTGCAGCCACAGGGCAAGACTATTTGTCCCTTCCAGATATTCTGCACATACGAAACACAGCAAAGGCAACAGAAAGATATGGCAGTAGCACAGGAAAAGGAGGGAGAAGTTACTCATAAACAAAACAAGGAATACCTGAAGTAAGTTTTAAGTAGGACTTTAGAGCGTGAGAAAATGTCTGACAGAGGCATAAAGAATACAAGCAGTAGGAGAGAAAATAAAAAAGGGAACACCCAAAAGTAGGATGGTACATCTGATTAGAATTGGGTTTGAATATACAGGAACTAATCCCCAAGTAGTGCTATATGAAGTAAGAGCATAGTTTTCATTTCATCAACAAGTATTTATTCCTAAGAGGCAAACAAAGAGAAAAACAACAACAACAACAACAAAAAAAGAATGTATTGATTTCACCCTCCTTCTACC